ATAAATAATTTCATGTTTTTAAGTACAATATTATGTTACTCCATAGCCCCCCACCATGGGGGGCTGATGCTATGACGAGGGAGGCTGCAGCCCCCGCAGCACCCCCCTTCCCGTGCCACTGGTCTGAAATGGCTTTAAAAGCTTTGCAGAGATGAACCCAAATCTCTGCCTGTTGTTCCAGGTGGAGTTTTTATGTGAAAGGGGTGCAGATGTCAACAGAGGTCAGAGGTCATCTTCTCTACACTATGCCGCATGCTTCGGGCGCCCGCAGGTAGCCAAGGTAAAGTGGAGGCTCTGCGTTTCGTGGGGTTGAAGCATGGAGGCGCATCTCATCATCTCTTTCTTCTTCCCTTCCTTGGAGCGCAGTCATAGTTTTGTTTCCATGTTTTTCTTCTGTCAGACTTTGCTGCGGCACGGAGCCAACCCGGACCTGAGAGATGAAGATGGAAAGACCCCCCTTGATAAAGCCAGAGAGCGGGGACACAGCGAAGTGGTGGCTATACTGCAGTCGCCTGGTAGGCTTCATTTTTAAGGAACATTTTCAAATCGAATCAGTATTCCTGAGCCGTATTAGAAGCTACCGATGTTTGACTTCCAGGAGACTGGATGTGTCCGATGAATAAGACCGACGATAAGAGGAAGAAGGATGCGAGTAAGGAGGAGGAGGAGGGCACTGAACCTAAAGGAGATCCAGAAATGGCTCCATACTACCTTAAGAGACTTCTGCCTGTTTTTGCACAAACCTTTCAGCAAACCATGCTGCCTTCTATCAGGTAAAGTCTTCACAATCTAAATCCATGTGAAACCTCAGTATAAAGCAGAGTAGAAATAATGACTTTGTTTTTTAGGAAAGCAAGTCTGGCTCTGATCCGGAAGATGGTTCACTACAGCGGTGAAGTGCTGCTGAGGGAGGTGTGTGAGAGCGAGACGGGACATAACCTGCCCACAGTCCTGGTGGAGATCACTGCCACTGTCCTCGACCAGGAGGTGAGCCATGGAAGAGCTGGGATTAAAGCGCCTCAGCCTGACTAAACTCCACTCAGACTCTTTCTAGAGCCGCTGAACCAGAGACCCAGTAAATAATGATGGAAATCTAAAGCCTCTCAGTCGTGGAAATGATTATTTCAATAGTTGTAATCCATGCATTCTACTTGTAGCATGTTGCATTGACCGTAGGCAGTGTGGTTTCCTTCAACGACAAGAATGGAGAGAAATATGAACTGATTAGAGCTTTTTTCGGGGCTTTTTTTTTCTTTTTTTTTAGAGAAAGAGGAAAAAGTTGCACTGTAACTTACAGGTCTATGTTTGTCTGTATGTATGTCTATGTTCAGGAAAGTAAACAATGGAGAACAGCATGTCAGGAAGCCAGGGCGTAGTCGGTGTGCTTTATTGTTTCTCTCTATTATCTGTCTGAATCCGTCTCACCAGAGCTGCTCCATGTTTATCGGATGGAAACGGAGTTGGTTCTGCTTGTTGGATCAAAAGCGACTGCTGCGGTGTGTTGATGTTCGTGCGTTGCGTTCAATGGTATCACGTAATTTAGTGGCTCTGTGTTACCACAGCATGCCGATTAAGAGCCGAGGCGATTTTTAATGCGGGTTGCTTGCCGGTTCATTTGAACCGGGTAGACACACCTAAGCTGTTCTCACTGCCACTAAAAGCTGATTGTTTCTGGGTTTAAACGGGTTTTTCCCCCAGGGTGGGAGGGGCTTTAGTGACGGCCTGCATTTGAGTCTCTGATTGGTGGAAAACAGAGGGAGGAGTGATAGAAAGAAGGGCTAATGTTAGCTTGTAAATCAAGGAGGACCAGAATTAGGATTTATGGAGACCAACACTCGTTTTAACATAAAAGGTGACGCCTTTATGAAGTAAACAAGGAAAAAAAAGGCACCAGTACGTCTCTATTTTTTGCTTTTAGATTTGGATTTGAGCTCTTATTCTTCTCATAATACTCTGGTGTTGATTCCTACATTTATACCTGATCATAGCATCAGTTATTTTCCCCCTTAACGTGAAACAGTCCCTTAGATGACGCTCTGAGATATGAGCCATGTGTAACTCAGACATTTGATGCTGGATTCATGCTAACCATTTGGGCCTGTCTTGTTTCCTGTCTGTTAGGACGATGATGATGGTCACCTCCTGGCTCTGCAGATCATCAGGGATCTTGTTGATAAAGGTGGAGATGTTTTCCTTGACCAACTTGCTCGACTGGGGGTCATCAATAAGGTGTCAACTCTGGCTGGACCCGCATCTGATGATGAGAATGAAGACGAAGCAAAGCCTGAGAAGGTTGGTTCAAAAGAAGGTTCACCTTTCAAAATAAAACCCAACATGGACCAACGGTTTATTGAAGTTCAAAAATCAACAGGAACATTTTTAAAAAGCCTCAATAAACCTTGTGTTCCTAAGGTGGCGAATATGATAGCTTGTACTATTCAGGGAGTAAACAAATGTATGAATGAATGAATTTTGAGGAAGACTGATTTCTCTGGATGAGATGCAGAGATTTTTAAACTAGGCTCTAAGCTGAGATTAAACGTGTTGGAAAAAAGAAAGCGATTTAATTTAATGTTAAATAAAGAACATGCTGCTAAGAGCAAGGAAAGTCTATGAAGGGTTAATGCAGATATTTTCCACCAATGTTGAACTTAGAAGTTGCAAGGTGACCTGATCTTTTCCAAGATACTTATTTAAGTCATAATTGATGCAAAAAGCAAAGTTTTTAGTTTATTTGCCAATTCACATCATGGCATCTCAAGGCTCTTTACAGAGAGAATTTAACCTGATCATCCAAACCAATTAGTTCACAGTTTTTAATCTAAATAAAACCAACTGATTACATCGACTCATTGACTCTTCAGCAATCCCTCACACTAAGCATGCTTGTAGCGACAGTGGAGAGGAAAAACTCCCTTTGAACAGGAAGAAA